CGTGATCCTGAAAGTGTTGCTAAAAATGTACACTTCTTAAAAATTGTAGTAATTAAACTTGTCTGTTGTGAGAGCCACATATGATATGCCCTCAACTCTAATAAAAGAGGTAAAGGACAAACTTCTTAAAGGCCTCTTCCCAGGTGGCAAGACACAGTCTCCTGCTAACCTTTATTAGAGAGCAAGGGACAGCAACATAGGCAAAAGAGGGGACAAAATAAATTCTGAAACAGCCTTATGCCTTATGTTTCATGCAGCTGATCATATCCCTCTATTCTAAGGTAACATTAAAATAGAAGTTGTAATAATTTTACTAATAAAGTTAGATACAGAGCTTCCAAACTTGTGCTTCCTAGAGGCAAGTTGGAGAATTTGAAATCACATAATTAATTGTTCTGAAACCTGAAGGAAATATGGTGGCTGTTCTGCACCAGTTGTTTATACCTCTAGTTTTTTATAGGCAGGGTTATTTTTCCCCTTTTCTTCTAAATTTAAAAGTCATCATTTTATAGATTTTTCTCAAAGTTATTAAAATGAACTGTGAAAAAGTATTATCTTCCATTTTAGACATATAATTTCATGACTTTTCATCTTGTAAGGTAGTGAAAGGAAATGCTTAAGTGCTCTTAAATTATTGCTTGCCAATTCTTTTGTAATCTTTGGAAAAAGTGATTTTATGTACCCTGTTAAGAGATAAGCTGCCTTCGTCCGTAAGTATAAAAGCACTGTGCTGCTACTGTGTTGTTGAAGTTAATTTGAAATTGGCTATGGAGGATGCCTTAAGCATTTGTCTCTTTGCCCCATCTCTAGAGACTATCAAGAAATCCTGTTATTGCAATATATAGAAATGATTTTGCCAAATGAGAAACACTGCTTGTTGGTTGAGATAATAAACTATAGATCCTACCCCTTTTTGATAGCTGTGGCAAGGTAAAGAGTTTTTGATCCTACCTTAACAATAGCAGAACTTCTGTCTTGGACAGAAAAGGCCATGAATGAGCATTCTTTTTGAAGTCTGTAGTTATTGTCATGTCTTCAACAAATGCCCAGAATTCCCCTTGATCAAGTCATCACATTGCAGTTGGCCCAATATTACTTGCTTACTCTAATTGATATTTTCATATACTTAGAGCATTGATTTGTTGATATAAATAGAACATTTACCTGTCTTGTAACTAGAACTAGAAGAAACACTCCTTTTTAACCTTGCATAATATTGATTTAAACACATGAACAGGAAAGTATGTTATTTTCCTACCTGGGTTAGGGATCAACAAGAAAGTTCCACTTAGACTAGGGAGCAAAGAGGCAACAATGGTTAGAAAATATTCCCATTTTTTTCTTTGACAACCTGGGGATACTCATGCAAAATGCCAAATTGAAAGGAATATTTATTTTTAGCTTACTGCCTATTAAGCAGTAACTGTTAGTGAATTGGAAGACTTTATATTGTTAAGATGGTAATACTCTCCAAATTTATCTGTGGAGTCAATGTGTTATTCCCATCAAAAACCCAGCTGTGTTTTTCACAGATATCAACAAGCTTATTCTAAAATTAAAATGGAAATGTAAGAGACCTAGAATAGCTAAAAACAATCTTGTAAAAGAAGAATGAATTTGGAAGACTTGCACATCCTTATCTCAAAATTTAACACAAAGATACAAGAATAAAGACTATGTAATACTTGCATAAGAATAGACATATAGATCAATGGAATAGAATTGAAAGTCCAGAAATAAACCCTTCCATTTTTGGTCAATTGATTTTTTTTACAAGGGAGTCAAAATAATTCAATGAGGAAGAAGTAATCTTTTCAACAAATGATACTAAATAACATGCAAAGATTGAATTTGAAACCCTACCTCACACCATATATGTAAATTAACTCAACATGACAATAGGCATAAAATGTAAGCCCTAACACTATTAAACTTTGGAAGACATAGGCATAAATATTTATGGCCTTGTGTTTGGGCAACATTCCTTAGATATAACAACAAAATCACAAATGGGGGAAAAAGTAAATAAATTGGACTTCATTAAAAGTAAAATCTTTTATGCTTTGAAGTTTATATAAAGCAAGTGAAGATAACCCACAGAATGAAAAAGATATTTGCAAATCACGTACATCTTTGATAAGAAATTTGTATACAGAATATTTAAAGAACTCTTTATAAGTAAATGATAATAAAACAAATAATCAGACATTTCTCCATAGAAGATACATAGAAGATTACAAGTGACCAGTAATCACATGAAAAGAAGCTCAACATCATTAGTCATTGCAGAAATGCAAATCAAAACTACAGTGAGATGTCACCTTCTACTCACTAAGATGGCTAAAATAAAAAAAATTAAAGTTAAAAAAGGAAATTAACAAGTGTTGGTAAGAATATGGAGAAATTGGAATGATCGCATATTGCCAATAGGAATGGCAAATTATGAGGACACCATGAAGATAGTAGCCATCCTTCAAAATGTTAACACGTACCCGACAGTTCCACTTCTCAGTGTATCCCTAAGGGAGTTGAAAACATATGTTCACATAGGAACTCGTGCACAAATGTTCATAGCAACATTATTCATAACAGGTGAAAAGTGGTAACAGCCCAAATGTCCACCAGATGACAGATGCGTAAACCAAATGTGGTATATTCATAAAATGGGATATTATTGGGTCATAAAATGGAATAAAATACTGATAGATAACATGAGTGAGCTTTGAAAACATTATTCCAAGTGAAAGAAGTGAGAGGAGTTATGGTCTAATGATATGAAATGTTCGGGACAGGCAAATCCTTATAGACAGAAAACAGATTAACTAGGAGCTTCTGGAGCGGGGAGAATGGGGAGCGACTGCTCATAGGTGTGGGGTTTCTTTTTGGAGTGATGAACATGTTATGACATTAGACGGTGATGACTGCAAAACTCTATGAATATACTGAAAAGCACTGAATTGTAGGCTCTACAATGATAAATCTCATGTGAATTATATCTCGAGAAAGCTGTTGTAAGATGACAAAATGAATCTTTTTTTTTATTTCCTTGCTTTTTTATTTTTGTTTATTTGCTTTCTGTTGTTGTTGTTGTTGTGACAGAGTCCCACCCTATGCTCTGAGCACAGTGCCAGGGCCTCATAGCTCTCTGTAACCTCCGATTTGGGCTGTGGGCATCCTTCTGCCTCAGCCTCCAGTAGCCGCTGGGATTCATAGGTGCTCGCCATAGCACCTGGCCAAGTTTTTCATTTTTTTATGAGTCGGGTCTCACTCTCACTCAAGCATGTCACAAACTCCTGGACTCAAGCAGTTCTCTCTCCTCAGCCTCCCACAAACCAATCCTGAGTGTGGCTGCATCCCTGGCAAATGTGTTGAGTGAAACCTCATGAGACACCCAACCCTGGAACTCGGCTGGTTCGAAATTTCTGACTCACAGAAACCGTGAGAGTTAACAAATATTTATTTTTAATTGATTACGTTCTGGAATAATATTGTACCTTAGAAAACCAATATGTATGAACTTGGTGTCTTCTTTGCTTGATAGATAGAAAACTAGACACAATTTCACTTCTGTATAAAAGAGACAGATAAAGTTAATGATTTGGGCATAAATAAGGTCATCAAACATTCTGATATATATATAAGTCACAGGTTCACATATTTTGTAAAAAATATTTGCCGAAGTACGTTTGGTATTTGTCCAACCTCGTCTGCTTTTACCTATAAGCGTATATCAAGCCCTTCGAATTAAAACACTAATCAACACAATGTTTGAGAGGGTCTCAGACGTGACTGTTTGTAGATAGGTACCTTAAACTGCACAGTGTTCATTAACTTTATAGATTTTCTTCCTTTTCTTCATATAGAGAAAAGAAACATAATAAGGAGTGTGGACCAAATCTTTCACAAAACCACAAAGCCCTGCCTGAAGCACTGCTGCTCAGTGTAAAAGCGAGAGACTTTTCTTGCTTCACTCAGTTCACTGCAGCAAAGTGCTTTGGTTGCAGCTCCGTGCCTTGTTTTCCTTGTGACATTACTCTCATTTACTTACCCAGTCCCTTAAGCTCACCTGTTGTCTTACACTCTTTGTCAGAGCCATTCAGAACCCTGAAAACTCTGTTCATAGGTCCGGTCTTTGCTGATGGGTCTCTGCATGTGGTTTGTTGCTGCTTTGATGAAAGCAGAGCTTATGACTATCACAATTTGTGACTCTGCTTCTGAAGAGCAGGGAATCCACAGAATTGCCTATTAAGGAACAGCTCGCAGGCCTATCAGAGAACCCGTGCCTTCCCCACCGAAGGATCAGCATCGGGCACACTTTCTAGAATGCCTTCCCCTCCTTCTCTGGGTAACATCCAGCTCCGCTTTGTCACCCCCTGGAGGGCAGGACCCCCCTCTCTTACTTCGCTGTAGTGGAAGTCCGGCTACCATTTTTCAAATTAAGTAGTCAATTTTAGTTTCTGCCTGGGAAGATCATCTTCAGAATCAAGTTTTAGGACAAAGAAAGAACTCTAGAGTTCTTTGTCCTGCAATGTTGCGGCCCCACTTCTGACCCAGCCGATTTTGCCTGGCAACATTTTTTTCATGGATTTTGCTTTCATTATATTTTAGCGTTGGGGTGGGGGATGTGAGCAAGTGCAGTACATTAGAACTAATCTATCACCGCCTGTCACTGGAGCCTCCCTGTTGGTATTCCTTTTCCTTGCTGGTTAGAAACCCTCAATCCCAAATGCCTATGGTTGCGTAGCGGGAAGCTAAATGATGTATTCCAGAGCTCTTAACATATTGCTTTATGTAGATGGCCCATTTGAGTATTTCAGGAACCAAATGGGAGAGAAAAGAGCATTGAAAGATTAACACCTGTTCCCTGTCTTCAAGGAAATTGGAGCATGCCGTATATCTCCAGAGTAAAATCATTTACTCTCCCATGTTGAAACATTCTGTTCACATTTTCGGTTCAGTATGTAAGGCAACCACTTGCTTATGGATTTGTTTCACTGCAGGATTCCACGCAGAACTTGGAAGACAGAGAAGTCATGAACGGTGTGCAGACAGAACTACAAACCTCGCCCAAACCCAAGGACACACTGAGGTATTCTCTTTATACAAATGGGAATATTTTATTTCTTTATTCTTTGACTTTTGTTTCCTTACTAGTTTATAATTGTTCTTATTTTATAGGAAAGATCAAAATAAATAGAATTATGGAGAGAAACATGTCCCAATTCTAATACTAATTACTTAATCACTCTTTTTTTGTGTTTCTTCCTAAGATGTAAGAACTTACAAACATTTATACCAGTGATCCTCAATCCTTTCAATAAATAACCTTCTGTAACCAGGATTTCTTAATTGCTGCTGCTGCTTTTTGAAAAAGACTTTGAAGTGAATATTTCAGAGTTCACCGTGCTTGAGTGTTTTACTCTGGACATTAGCCCTTTCGATACTGCTCCGTAATATGTCTTAACAATCCTGCAACATTTTACTTGATGTATGTAAATCGAATCATGCTATTAACCAGAAATGTTCATGTTTTAGTGAAAAGAACTCATTTGAAGTCATTCGCTCTTATGCCCCTGAATTCCAGTTCCGCTCTAGACACTAACTGACTCCCAGCTGGGCTGCTTACTGGTTCTGTTAGCTTGTTACTCATCGCTCTTTCCCTTAGTTTCTGGTCTGCAAAGTGGAAATGTTATTAAAACCTTTCAGAGGGTTGGGGAGAGGATTGAATGAGTTACCATTTGTAAAACACTTTGAACACCTGTATTTGCGGTTGTGAGTACTACTATGATTGTTATCATTCCTATCATTGTTATTATCACCATTATCATTTAGTTGTTTCAATTTGAAAGAAGGAAAATAATTCTGTATTTAATAAATGGTTGGCTTCAGCATCGAGTGAAGCTGCTGACGCTGGTACTCAAACAATGTATCCCTTTCCTTAAGTCCGATAAGTGCCAAGAGATTTGCATGAAGTGGGATGTAGATTCTCCTTTAACTTATAATTTATAGCCATATAAGCATAATGACTATTTAGATTGTTTCTTTGATTAATGAGCTGCATAGTATTGAAATTTTGCTACAGAAAATCTGCAGGTTACTGTCTTTTCAAAAGCTTTTCATAAGATTGTTTTTGGAGGGAGGGATAATGAGTCTAATACTTTAATTCTGTTTGGCTTTAATTTTATTTTTTTTTTAACATTGGCCTTTTGAAAAGTTTGCTAATATCTTGGCCAAATGCTGTGTGGATAGCCATTAGAAAGTGAACAATTCGTTTATAGTTGCATGAACAAATTAGCTAGCATCCTCCCTGTATAGGGAATTGAGACAAATGGAGTATAGGAATTTTTAAAATGTATATTATTTAATTAAAATACATGTACATGTATAATTTGATTATCAAAACAGCTCTTTTGCACATTTTTTATCACCTTCGGTAGATTGAAGAACAGCAATTCAGAGCAATTAAATAATAGCTACTGACCATCAATACCTACCATTCTTGTCTGCAAATCCATTGATTCAAACCTTTCCTATTCTGTGTGCCTTCCCTGAAGGCACATTTGCTCCATGACCAAAGTTAGAAACTTCATACAGTAGTGTGTGTGCCAGTCTGGGTGGGGGTGGGGGGAACACAGCTGAAATCACTCTGAAGTCAGATTCAGAAACTAAAGTGAGTGTGAACTTCCAGCACACACAGACACTGTAGTGGAAGAGGATGAAACAATCTTAACATCACAGGACGCACAGCTAACGGGGGAAAGCTCACAGGTCAAGGACAGTGGTTCCAGCTGGTATGAGATGATGAGAAAGTTGTTTGTTAGAGAGAAATTTGGAAGCCACTTACAGTTGGGCAGGAAGGATCTGATATCCCACAGAACATGGCCCAGGCATAGGATTGTGGGCGAACTTCCACATAGGTAGCGTAGAAGCTCTGTAAATTACTTGTAAAGTCCATCTCAAACAGGTTTTCACCTATTTCATCCCCATAGTTATTGCTCAAGCATTTGTTACCTCTTGGCTAGTCTATTGCAATAACTTACTAACTCCTCTCTCAAGTATCAATCTCTTTATTTTCACTGATCCCACAATTAGGTAAAACTTTTTAAACCATAGCATTTATCAAACCATTCCTTAGTTCCTAAACCTTTAGATTCAGGTAAGTCCTGGGCTTGCACACTGGATGTGCCACTCACTCCCTGTGCAAATCTTAGACTAATATGTAACTTCTTTAAAATATTTTTTTATAGGAAAAAGGATATCATAGCCACCTAGATTATTGTGAACGTCAAATGAAATATATTATAGCAAATAACTTAGCACAATGCTAAATTAAAGGCCAGAAGAACATTAATTGCTCCTGAAATTATCATCGCCATGATTATACATTTTACAATTTGTTGTAACTAGTTGTCATTCTCCCAGACAAGACTGTGAATCCTCCAAAGGCTCTGTGGCACCTAACACAGATTTTGCAACAAAACAGGCATATTTGTTGAGTGCATTACTGAACAAGTATAACACATTGTTCTTTAAGTCATAAGTATAACTACCATGTTTCCCCCAAAATAAGACACTGTCTTATATTTCTTTTTTCTCAAGAAGACACACTAGGGCTTATTTTCAGGGGATGTCTTATTTTTATTAAGTATAATACAACAATCTACATTTATTCAAATACAGTTAAGTCATCTTCTTCTGGAACCTGACGGGGGAGCCGACCTTGTTGGTGGGGCTGGCACTAGTGATGCATGAACTCCTTTCTCCTAGCTGTTCGCATATGCGCAATAGGATGCCTGCGACCCCAGTTACCACATGCGCACCCATAAACAGCTCAGAAAAAAGAGCTGTGGCAGATAAAAGGTATTCCAATTTTCCTCATCGCTCCACACTGAAATGCATGGTTGCATAGCCACGCCCATCACTAGGTCTTATTATTGGGGTAGGGCTTATATTTAACAAATGCATAGAAATCCTGCTAGGGCTAATTTGGGGGGTAGGTCTTATTTTCGGGGAAACACGGTATTAACAACTCACCTATTATTAATGCAAACATTTGTAATCAAAGAAAAATAACACTTTATTTTTTATTTTTTATTTTTTTGAGACATAGTCTCACTTTGTTGCCCCGGGTAGAGTGCTGTAGCATCATAGCTCACAGCAACCTCAAACACTTGGACTCAGGTGATCCTTCTTTCTCAGCCTCCTAAGTAAATGGAACTACAAGTGTGTACCACTATGCCCACCTAGTTTTTCTAGTTTCTCAATTTTTTTTTGAGACATAGTCTCACTTTGTTGCCCCCAGTAGAGTATGGTATCATAGCTCATAGCAACCTCAAACTTTTCAGCTCAAGTGATTCTCTTGCCTTAGTCTCCTGAATAAATGGAACTACAGGTATGCACCACTATGCCCGGCTAGTTTTTCTATTTTTTTAACTTTTTTTTTT